AAAAAAAAAAAAAAAAAAAAAAAAAAAAAAAAAAAATCCTCCATGCAGCTATGGCAACCAGAGACAGTGTCACTGCCTGCCTGTTGCTTCCATCAAATTTTTTTGAGAAGCAGCAATCCACTGGAGAGCAGAATCCAGCCTCATGAGCATTACAAGGGTTGTCTGTCCCCTGAGGAGAAACCCTAAGGCAATCCTAATTAGCACATCTCAGCTCAGCTCAGTGCCTGCATTTATTTTCTGTAAGGGTGGCTCTAACACATGGGTCCCACAGGCAGCAGCATCYTTGCTGTGTGGTTACTCTGGGAGTGAAGACACAGATTTCTTGTGGCTGTGGCTTTTGGACAGGGCAAGGGAAAGTTCAGCCTCAGCGGAGGTTTTGTGGAAAGCCACAAAAYGAGAAGGCAAAATGCTTTTCACCCCTCGGTGAGAAAAGGATGTATCAGTACCATTGAGGTTTTGGGGATTTTTTGTGCTGCTCCGTTGCGACCTCAAAAGCAGCATCACAGATCTCTCTGGTCCACCTGCACCATTTTCCAGTCCCTGGTGGCTGTGAAAGCCAAACAGCTGTTTGAGAGCACCAGGGAGCAGTTTGCTCTTCTTAAAGGTTTTGTGCAGAAAGAATTGCTTAAGAGAGAAGAAGGTCTGTCCTCCTTGATATCCCCACAGCACTGCAAACTCTCAGTGTTTTCTCCAGCTCCGTTGGTGAGTTTGATGGGACGGCTGCAATGTGAACAACTTTTCCCTGATGCTTCTGCCTCTGGGCTGAGCTGGAGCAGGCTAGCAGCTCTAGGGAAGGCAGTGTAAAAGAGAAAGAGAGGCTGGCTGTTGCTAGAAAGCCAGTCAGTACTTTTGGAGGAAGCAGTGTTGAGTATATTTTAATCCCTGCAATCATTTGGTCGCCGTCGGTCTCTGTGAAATCAGAAATCTGAGCATGCCCTGCATCCCCACTGCTTTTCATTATTTCCCTCTCGTCCCTGCTGCACCTCAAATTGYATCCTCACARCCACTCCCTGCTCGAGCAGCTCCTGGGATTCCACCACCCTCAGTAGCAGTGGTTTGGCATTTTTTGGTTTGGGGTGTGTGAGCAAAGGGAATGTGGCCTGGACACAGCCTGTGATTGTAACACAGATGATCAAACACACATTGATGTGCCCAGTGCTCCCTGGGTTACTCAATATGTGACAAGGCCTCCAGAGATTTGGTGCAGGCATAAAAAAAGTTGCATCAGCTGGACTAACTACCTGAAATTTTTCAACAACAACATCTCTTCAATTTCCTTTAATTTCTATAAGGAAATCCAGTTATTCAGTTCTTCAAATATGCAAAGGAAGGAGGTGAAATGCTATGAAACAGCACCAACCCTGTCTAAGCCTGGCTGTGTAAAGAATGTTATTTTGATGCCTTGGAAACCAGGCTCACCAGAAACAGAGAGTGGACAAACGTAAGAGAATGAGAACAGACAACTTTAATCCAGGCCTAACAGGCCCCCTGGTACATTAGGGCAGACAAAACCTCCTCCTCCTGAGGCTACACCAAAAATGGATCCCGAGTCACGAGATCTTCACCTTTTATAAGTTCTGTCTTATTAACATATTGGGCCTCAACCCTCCAATGATACCTTCAGGTGATGATGTCACCACCCCAAACTTGCTCCCCCCAACTCACTGTTGTTTTCATATTTTGGGGCTCTGAGGCAGCGAGGTGTCCTTGGATTCAGGCTCAGAGAGGGACTGTTTTGTCTAAAGATGGGAGAATGGTATTTTTAGTGTTGTACTAGAGAAATAAAAGAATACAGATGCATGAAAATATAGAATCTAAAAATCCTAAGGCATCAGGAAAATGCAACATTTCCCTTTTCTCTGGCTCTCATGTGATTACGTGGAAAACTGTCCCAATTGCCCCAACTTCCCTGCCTGTTGGCCCCGTTCCAATGGCCTCACTGGAGCTCCAAAATGTGCCATAGATCTGCTCCAAAGGCTTTTCCCACCTACCTGAGGTCTGTTCCATGGGTCTGCCCAGTTCCTGGGAATGGATGTTTGTAGGCTGGAGTCCCTTGGTGTGAATTATTTCTGCACCGAATGTTGCAACTGTGTCTGTGAGGAGATGGCACGTCCAGAAGAAGGTCTGGAAAGGGATTATTTATCAGTA